TAACTTACAGGGTTCAGTTTAACACAGATAGGCTCATCATATATTTTAATAAAGTACAGGTATCCCCCAAGATACTTACAGTATGTCCAATAAATGAACAATCATTATTACAAAAATATCAGTTTGACTTAACAAATTCCCCTCAGTCACACGGTCAGTATAGCCCAGTGGTGCATTGGCACTATTGCAGAATGTATTTATTATTTTACAAGAATTAGAACCCTTAGTGCTATACAGTATGTTAGAGGATACCTGTACATGTAAATTAATGTACAGTACTGTAGGCTATATAGTCTTGCATGCCTAGAAGTGCTCATTTTGTGTACCTACAGTAGACTGTATAGCCTTGGTGCACTTTTACTAGTACTACTTTTTTTTTTCTTCACCTTTCTAGTTTTTGTTTCACTTCAGTTAATTAAATTATTATTATTAAAGTAGTTTTGAAGAAGATTACAGGGGGCCCCCAATTTACGAACAGGTTCCGTTCCTTATGACATTCTTTTTCGGATTTGTACTTAAGTAGGAACACGCGCCATGAGCATACCATACTTACAGAACAATGTTTAAAATCACACTATATCACAGCCTAAGTCCTTATATACATCTAAAATCAATTAATTTAAGACAAAAGAGAAATAGATTGACAATACAGTAAATGAAAGTAAAAAATATCATTAGATGATATATTGTAAATTTCATGTTTAACACCGTTCATATCGGCGGGGACTCCCTGTACTTTCTACAAGTTTTAATTTTTACATAGTAACAGTGCAGTACTTTGTCTTAAGTAATATTTTCATATACTTTCTCCCCCACTGGCTAAAATGGACCTGAATTGAGCTGGACCTGCAGTGAACTAGACCTGAAGTGAACTGGACCGTAATTACTATCTGGTATTTTACTTAATATTTTCTGGTACTTTTAATATTAGAAAGGTTCTACAGATATCCCTCAGTTTATAAAAGTTTTGTTCCTGAGAAACCTTTAGTAAATCACATCAATACTTCCATAGACTCCCATTATAAAAGCCAAGATACTTTTCTGCGATGAAAATACTTCCCCCAAATGATGTACTGTACGCAATTATTATAAGCCACTATAGGAGGAGCTCTACTGATGAATGAGTTATGTTCTGGAGGTTTGTTTGTGAGTCCAACTTTACTCATGTAGATGTACAGTACAGTGGCCTGTAAGTTGACCTTTGAAGCTCCAATTTGTTTTCTTAAAACTAAGAGTCGTCTTATACAAGGGTATACAATGTCGATCTCTAAATACACTCCACCACTAGCACCAGATTTTCACTTTGCTGTACCGGCAGGTCTCGGTCACATAATTTCCAGCACTCGTAAATAAGTTTTACCTAACTGTAGCATTTTTCCAGAAGAGTAAATGTTACTGAACTCAGCTTAAGTTTAGTGTTTACACTAGTCACATTATGGGTGTCCCTACACACACCGACACCTTTCAAAATATCTTTCGGTGTTAACTGCGATTTTTTACAAACAAATGTTACTGGGGCAATAACTTGGAATATTTGTTGTTAAATTTAAAAAAAAAATGCAGTTATTGTATATTGATATAATGCTCCAGGATTTTATAAATGTTTACATGAATGTGGTGTAAAGTTGTTAACAAGACAGGCACCTGGGAGCAACTGGCTGGCCTGCAGCAGCTCGGTCAGTGAATGTCACTAGATTTATCGGCAAAGTTGCTAAATACAAAAAAAAATCTGGAGAAATACCATTACATATAAGACGTTATCTAACACGAGAATTGTTAACAATGGCTTTGATAAATGCAAAAAAAACTGTCACAGGTGGCATTAAAGGTAGACGGCATAAACAACGCTAAACTGGCAACTAGGTCAACATATGAATGACCACTATCTCTGTTGTACAGTAGTCAGTATACTGCACATTATGTTCACATAGACTCAAGTGCTAAGTACCATAGAATGTTGATGCACAACTGGCACATAATTAATGGTCACTTTCCTATCTGTATACAACTGTTAGTACAGTGTATTTCCATATAGATATTCAGTGAAAAAATAATTGATGGGTCTTATCCCACAAAGGGTAGGTTAAGACAATATGAAACTCATCTTAATTGTGAAGTTAAACAGATTATAAGAATCATCAGTTCATTTTCCTTCAGAATTATCAGTAAAAATTATTTTTGGATCACCTCTCTGGCTTATTTAACCTTAAGATTAACCACCCTAACCTTACCTAACTTACTTAGTGTTAAGGTGCTTAATCATCAGGTGATATTAATTGGGGGCTATCTTCATGTGATCTTTGGTTTCTCTATCAAGCTCCTCAGATCAGCCATCACACCAGACCAGGACCAGGACCTGTACGAGAGAAGGAATACTGTGGTCTACCTTGCAGTGTGTTATTGAGTTAGTTACTTTACAGTAGAAGTAAGTGGCCACACCAGTACTTAACAGATTATTTAACTATGTTGAGTTTTGGTGTTATTTGAATCATTCTATAGATTTGTAAACTGACTAATGACTTTAGACGGTGTTTAAGATTAGGTTTCTAACAGTTAAAACTGTGGTTAAGTTGTGTGGAGGTGAGACAATGACTTAGCACTATGCTGAAGGTGTTTAAAAGTGAGAAAGTGACTTATAGTGAAGTTTGTAGAAGTAAGGATATTAGTTTAAAAATTTGTGTATGGGAGAAAATGACTAATTACCTTCATGAGATTTAGAGTATAGTTTAATTTTTATACAAGAAGTTGGAGGTCAATACTATAGGCGTAATATTTTTTAGGGATTAAAATTCTTCCTTTTCCGCGGATCATTTACAGTGAAAGGTACAGTACAGAGTGAGAGAAGGCTGGTTGTATATTAAGGTTGAGAAAGGAAAGGCTGTACTGTACTAAGTTAATGGATAGGGGAGACTGCCGGACGTATGACTGACGAGTATTACAGTAAAGGAGGGAAAGCTGTTGAGTGTATGACTTAAGATAATACAGTACTGAAGTTGTATGAGCAAGAGAAAAGGCTGGTGATGTATAATTGAGGGAAACTTGACTAGAATGTAAGATTTACTGTACTGAAGCAGATAAAGAGGATTTTGACCTGCACTGATTTTTTTCAGAGTCATTTAACCGCAGCGACCTCTACCTCATAGCTCTATCTATTAACTGCAGCTGACCCCAACATGAAGGACATTTCATCTATCAACTGGAATCAACTGCATCTGAACCCCTTTCCCCTACCCCTTTAGAGCGGGGGTCAGAAGTCTCTTCTGGGAAGAACCTTACTCTCGGAGCATTATAACTCTGGGTTTATGGCTCGGACATTTCTGTATCTGGGATAAGGAGCTTCCTGGAGGAGGCGACTGGCCCTAGGAGCAGCAATTGCTGTATCTAGGTGTCAGCGTTAGGCTGCTTAGGTTCCCTTTTTTTTTAAGGATCTTCAGGCGAGCCTCTTCAAGGATACACTGAATCCTAGGACAAGGAGAGCCGGTCCTGAAGAAGATTGGTACCATTTTTTTTATCCTTTTGAGCTGGGGTCAGGGGGCTTCTTCCTAGTGGTGATTGGCTTTTGGACCAGCATGCTTGTTTGTCCAGTGGTTCCAGGAGTCAGGATCCTCTTGGGGGAGAACCTTGGCCCTCGGACCTGGCGTGAGCCAGGTTCAGGGACTCCCCTTTTTTTCTCATCTTAGGCTCTGTCTAAGGTGTCCTCTCGGTTCATAGTGGCTGGGGCACTGAAAACAGTTTACCTCACCTTATGAATCTGTGAAGGGCACCTAAGACTTCTTTCACAGGAGCTGTTTTATCTCCTGTCTTAGAAATCCATTGATTTCTAAGATCAGAGATAAAAACACACTAGTGTGAAAGAAGTCTTAGGTGTTCTTCACTGATTCATAAGGTGAGATGAACTGTTTTCAGTGCCCCAGTCACTAGGAACCTAGGGAGGTCACCCTAAGGCCAAGCCTAATTCCAAGATGAGGGACTATGTCCCTCAGCCTTAGGGGGATGGGTAACTCCTACCCTAATCATAGAATGTACTGGAAGTATAAATAAAAGTATATTGAAATTCTAAATTTTTATTTAAAACCAATTTACAAAATAATTTGTGGAGAGGAGGAGTCCTCCTCCCCCTCCAGGGGGAGAGGGATGAGGAGTCCTCTTCCAGGGGGAGGGGGGGTCCTCCTCCCCCTCCCACCCCCCTAAGGCCTCCCCCCCCTAAGGTGAGGGACATAGTCCCTCATCTTGGAATTAGGCTTGGCCTTAGGGTGACCTCCCTAGGTTCCTAGTGACTGGGGCACTGAAAACAGTTCATCTCACCTTATGAATCAGTGAAGAACACCTAAGACTTCTTTCACACTAGTGTGTTTTTATCTCTGATCTTAGAAATCAATGGATTTCTAAGACAGGAGATAAAACAGCTCCTGTGAAAGAAGTCTTAGGTGCCCTTCACAGATTCATAAGGTGAGGTAAACTGTTTTCAGTGCCCCAGCCACTATGAACTGAGAGGACACCTTAGACAGAGCCTAAGATGAGAAAAAAAGGGGAGTCCCTGAACCTGGCTCACGCCAGGTCCGAGGGCCAAGGTTCTCCCCCAAGAGGATCCTGACTCCTGGAACCACTGGACAAACAAGCATGCTGGTCCAAAAGCCAATCACCTCTAGGAAGAAGCCCCCTGACCCCAGCTCAAAAGGATAAAAAAAATGGTACCAATCTGCTTCAGGACCGGCTCTCCTTGTCCTAGGATTCAGTGTATCCTTGAAGAGGCTCGCCTGAAGATCCTTAAAAAAAAAGGGAACCTAAGCAGCCTAACGCTGACACCTAGATACAGCAATTGCTGCTCCTAGGGCCAGTCGCCTCCTCCAGGAAGCTCCTTATCCCAGATACAGAAATGTCCGAGCCATAAACCCAGAGTTATAATGCTCCGAGAGTAAGGTACTTCCCAGAAGAGACTTCTGACCCCCGCTCTAAAGGGGTAGGGGAAAGGGGTTCAGATGCAGTTGATTCCAGTTGATAGATGAAATGTCCTTCATGTTGGGGTCAGCTGCAGTTGATAGATGAAACTATGGTGGGGTCAGCTGCAGTTAATAGATGACTCTCTTTATGGTTGGCTCTGATGAAATAAAACCTAACCTAGGATGTGGAAGAAACGAAAGAAAGAAAGAAATCCAGTGCAGATTAAGTAATACAAATCCTTCCTTCACTTGTATAAAACTTCAGTCTAGCATGATGGTCCATTAAGAGCAGTGTACTGTATACTGAACCTTGTGATTAACACTGCCTTCACTTCCCCAACAGGTGAACCTACAGTACTGTACATTAATTTACATGTACAGGTATCCTCTAACATACTGTATAGCACTAAGGGTTCTAAGTTAAAAAACATATTGAATGGTAGAACTCTTGTATTATGTTCTGGGAGGGAAAAATCAGTCAACTGGTGGGTTTTTCACCAATATAATTCTTGTAAAATAATAAATACATTCTGCAATAGTGCCAATGCACCACTGGGCTATACTGACCGTGTGACTGAGGGGAATTTGTTAAGTCAAACTGATATTTTTGTAATAATGATTGTTCATTTATTGGACATACTGTAAGTATCTTGGGGGATACCTGTACTTTATTAAAATATATGATGAGCCTATCTGTGTTAAACTGAACCCTGTAAGTTACTAACACACAGTTGCTAACTATTTTAATACCAATGCCAGATAACACTCTCTCCTCCTGTACTGTAGTCTTCAATCACTATTACATCAAGGCTTCAGTTCACCTCAAATGGTAACATAATCTGCCAAGAATCAGTAGATAAGTTTTCTTCTGTACAGGAGCCGTGATATAAGGTGCTGTGCTGTGTTGCTGCAGGACCAGACGTCTCCTCCTGTGTCAAGTACAACTTATTACAGAAATATCAAGATACACCATATGTATGGCACTTAGATAAAATACTTAACAATGGTGTGTATGTATGTATGTGACAAGTGTATTAGTGCAGAATTACAAGGAGTTAGTTAATATTTACACCTTCACAACACAAGAGCCAATGTGAACTTGGATGGTAATTTTAATGACTAACTAACGATTTATTTATCCCATACTTTAATGGAAATAATCTTTGGATGTCCTTCCTAAATTATCCTTGGTTTAGTGGACTTACATTGTGTATTTGTAGTACATGATGAACAAATATAAACTTGTATGATGACTTTATTAAACACTAGTTGGTGCACGACCATCCCATAGGCTACCAGCACCTCTCTGCACAACTAATGCTGGTCCAAGCAAAAGGCACCTCCTAGCAAAATAACCTGATCTCTGAGCTAAGAGGTAAGGGTCATCTGAAGTTCTTTCTTCCAGAGAGAATTCTCTTCCAGTTCTCTGGTCAAAAACTTCCAGATGAGAGATTTGACAGTGAACCTGTGAGGGAGGCCACACATACCCAATGCACATGGTATTTTGAGGTAACAAGCTGTGCAGTTTTAATCAGGCTAACTACAGTCCTAGAATTAGCTTCCTGATCCATACTAAATAAATTAGGACAACTTATCCTTGACCTATAATTAGGCTAAACATTTCAGACATTACACTAACTTAGAAAAATAAAGGGGGGTCCCTAAACCAGATTAATACTGGTCCTAAGACCAACAGACTGCTGACCCCTGGACCAGGCTAATGGTCTCTGGATCACTCATCTCTCCATAAAGTCTCCTGATCCCAACTGGTAATGAAAAAAAATACCAAGGTTCACAATGTTAATTACTCGCCAGCTATGGGTTTCCAAGGTGAGATTTAGGTGTGTGTGTGTGTTATTCTGGATGTACCTAATTAGTTAAACCTCTTAAATTCCAATTCTGAGAGAAAAGTATATTTGGTCAAAAATTTTGTTTGTGTTTTCTCATGGACTGAAACTGCCTACAATACACCATTCACAGGGAGATACAGTGTACACAGTGATAGCACCAAGAGATATAGACAAGAATGGGAAAAGAAAGAACTGTAGTATAAGGAAATAATAGTTAAAATAAAAAAAATAAAAATAAAAACAACAAGTTTGGCCATCCTAAAAGGCAGTCTATTACTGCCCCAAAGAAAGATTTATTTTATTTTTCTGGGTTTCTTAAGGACTGAAAGGGCGTATAAAATCCATTAGTCATAGCACAATGCAGTGTACATAGAGATAGCACGTAAATACTGACAAATTGCAGAAGTGAACTGAAAAAAAATAAGAGAAGACAACCCTAAAGGCAACAGGGGAGGATAAAACCAGCAGAGGGCAGCTAAGTACTGTTTTTTTTCTTTATTCTTAAATAAATGTAGATCTATACACAGTCTGCACCCCCCCCCAACAACAACCATGAGTATGATATGAGATTAATGTGGGGATAACAGATATGGATGATACAGGCCTGACTAATGCAACATTTAGGACGATGCAAGCTGCTGTAAAGCATGAAGGCTGTTGCTGGTATTGCCCTGACTGCATAGTCAAGGTGAAAGAGGCGATTGCAAGCCAAAGGGGAACAAGTTCCCTAGGGACGAAAATAGATGAAGCTAGAGCCTTGCTGGTTGCCAAACTAGGACAAGTTGGGAAAGAGATCCTTGCTAAGACTGAGGAAGTAGCCGATATAATGGAGGTAGTTGTTAAGAGAAATTATGCCGAGGCATTAGCAGGGCTACTGGAGGTGGCGGAGAGTAATTTAGGATCAGAACAGGTTCTACAGCAGCTAGGAACCCTGAAGCAGTGTGTCGAAGAAATGGAAATTAACGGACCTACTGTTAGGGAAGAGGAGGAACAACTGGAACATTTCCAGCGCAGGAACAATGTAATAGGTTTTGGAGTCCCTGAGAGCCAGGTGGAGGGAACTTAGAGTAAGATAACACACAATAAGATGTAGTTTAAGAATATTTGTACAGAGGTTCTGAAGATGCCATCACCCCCCCAGGATGTGAGGAGGCTGGGACAACAGCAGGGAGATAAGCCTGGTCCCCCCAGGATCACACTAGTGAGTGAGGAGGAGAAATGGAAGGTTATTCGGCAGGCAAAAAACTGAGCAAGGAGCGAGGCATCTTGGAGTGTATTCATTCACCCAGAATGCACGGTAATGCAGAGGGAACAGCACAGGAAGCTCCTGCAGGGCTTGAAGCAGAGAAGGGATGAGTCGAGGAGGAACAGGGAGAGGGTAGTGGAAGCAAGTGTGCCAACACAGAGACAAGGGGGCAACAGCGCACCCCCCACCCGGGAGGAGGCGAGCACGGTGTAAACAATGACATACAGTGTACTTAGCAAATGCTGCAGCTTCTGAGAATGGGGGGGGGGGGTGTTACTACTAAGAGCAGAGACATTACCGAGAACAAATTCTGGCTCGAATGTCATGTACACTAATTCTGACATGTTTCTTGATAAGAGAGAGGAGTTTGAAACACTACTGAAGGTACACCAACCAGATATTGTAGGAGTTGCAGAACTGGGGCCGGATACTCAAAATACCATATATTGTCGAATCTTTACAGTACCGTAAATTTAGCATACTCAAAATTTAATTACAGTTCCGTAAGCCTTTCGTAAGTTTTCATAACTCTAGTGTTTACCCTGTAAATTAAGTTCTCTTGTCGGAAGGTAGATGTCAGTGCAGGAGCTAGTTGGCCAATCAGCGCTCAGTTAACAAAATCATCAACCAATCACAAGAGAAGGAGAAATCAGCTGAGAGCGACGCACATATTATTATTTTGTAAACATGGAAGGACCACCAGCCAAGAAGAGACGGCCTGTTAGTACAAGAACAGGAGAATCGACCCAGAGGAATGCGAGTTCAGTATAGCTGGATATGACTCATTTACGATCCTTTTTTCAAAAAACTTGCAAGAGGGGTGTGGTTATCTATGCTAGGCAAGACCTTAGAGCCAGCCAGGTGAGAGTACAGGGAGTGGATGTTTTTGAAGAGTCCAAATGGTGTAAAATTAAATTACTTATCGTCGGGTGTATCTACAGATCCCCAAACTGTGGCCCACTAAATCAAAGGAACTTAAGAGCCTTAATAGACACTGCAGCAATGCTCAACCCTAGCCACCTCCATATCATGTGTACTTTAACTATGGCGACATAGACTGGAAAAACGAGTTCACCCCAAATGACTTGAATAACCCTGTTACTCTTTTTTTAGAAACTCTGAGAGATAATTTTCTGTTCCATCATGTTAGAGACCCGACACATTACAGAGGGGAGCAAACACCCAAGCCACTAGACCTCATCATAACAAATGAGGAGGGTATGGTGGCCAAACTGGAACACCTTGCCCCAGTTGGCATCAGTCACCACATAGTGTTGTCCTTCAGATTTAACTGTTACCTAGTTCAAGATAAGGCCAGGCCAAGGTGCAAATATTACAAGGGAAATTACAATGGGATGAGGGAAGAGATGAGGGGAATCCACTGGCCCAACTCATTGAGGCACAAGAACACATACACTACGCTGAATATCATAACTAGTAAAGTGACCCATTTGATCTATAAATATATACCCAAGACCAAACCCAGTGCCTCTAGGAATATGAGGGGGTCCCTACACATAAACCATGCGGCGGTTGACAAAGTTAAGAAGAAAACCCAGAATTCAAGACGTAGGTTGGGTCAAGCGATGAGCAGGACAGGAGGATGTATGCAAGAGCCAGAAAACAAGCAAAGGTAGGTGTAGAAGGGCTGAAAAGGAGTTCCAGAGGCTGGTTGCAAGTGAGGTCAAGACAAATCCAAAGGCGTTTTACCGCTATGCAAAGTCGAAATTAAAAATGCGAGTAGGAGTATCAGACCTGAGGCTTGAAGATGGTAGTTACACAGATTCTGACTAGGATAAAGCCGAGGCATTGAACAGCTTCTTTTCCTTGGTGTTCACAGGAGAGGATGCGATTAACCTTCCTGAGTTTGGGGACAAACGGTTCGACACAGCACTGACCCACATTATGTTCACAGAAGAGGGTATTAGAAATAAACTGTCAAAGCTGAAGGTCCATAAGAGTCCTGGCCCTGACATTGTGCATCCCAGAGTGCTAAGAGAGTTGTGCAACAAGCTTGCCGAGCCCCTAAAGATCCTGTTTTGTAAATGCCTGGATGAACAAAAGGTCCCCAGTGATTGGAAAGTGGTTTATGCGAGTCCTATACTCAAGAAGGGTGATCGCCACTCCACGAAAAACTATAGAGGGGTGAGCCTGACCAGCATAATATGTAAAATACTTGAGAGTACTATCAGAGATGCCGTGATGGAACATCTACTACGAAACAACCTTGTAGAGGATTGTCAACATGGTTTTATGCCGGGGCGTTCCTGCTTAACACAATTGCTCAAAGTATTGGATATTTGGACCCATATTCTGGAACGGGGTGGTAATATCGATAACCTATACCTAGATTTTGCCAAGGCTTTCAACAGTGTACCCCACGAAAGGCTGAAAATCAAACTGGAAGGGTACGGTATTCGGGGAAATATCCTAGCGTGGATAGAAGACTTTCTATATGACTGCAAGCAGTGTGTGGTGATTAATAGCACAAAATCATCATCTGTACCTGTCACAAAAGGGGTACCACAGGGCAGTGTAGGGCCCGCTGTCGTTTGTTTATTTCATAAATAACATGCCTGACGTTGTACACTCCTCCATACAAATGTTGCTGATGATGCCAAGTTATTTCAGGAAATCAAGTACCATGCAAACTGTGAAGAGCTGCAGAAGGATCTCTGTCAGCTCCAAAAAAGGTCGAAGAAATGGCTACTGAGATTCAAAGTCACGAAGTGTAAGAGGATGCACCTGGGGCGTACCAACGGTAAGGAGGCATATCAAATGTCCCAACGGGATGAAGAAACTGCACTATTTGAGACTGAATGGGAGAAGGACCTAGGTGTGTATGTTGACAATGAGCTGAAGTTCTCGGGCCATTGCGAGAAGAAGGTAAATCAGGCCTTTGGGTGGCCAATCACAGCAATGACCACAACTCCATTAAAAAAAAAAAAAATTGTCTTATGACAAAGATTTTGTGGTTGTAGGCCTCTTGACCTGGGCTGTACCTCCAACTCAGTGGAGATTGAGTTTTAAAAAATACAATCGCATCTAGCACTAAAAATCCTTTATCGGTTTACACTTTCACATCACTAAGACGATTCCGATGATCTCATGTAATCACTGTCAAATTGTTGCCGCTCATCAACGAAGGCCCGAGTTTTAATCAGGCTAACTACAGTCCTAGAATTAGCTTCCTGATCCATACTAAATAAATTAGGACAACTCATCCTTGACCTATGTTGTATCTTATGTCACCAATCAGATACATTTTTACATCTTAATTTATAAGAAATATTCAACATACCTTTGAGATTCCATCACCTTGAATCACACAATCAGATACAACCTTGCATCTTAACTTAGGAGAAATATTCAACATACTTTACATTTGAGACTATAGACCAGAGCTAAAACGTGAAGACATCTTGGTGCACAAGTGACGGCTTCTGCCCAGCCAACACCAGCAATGGTTGTGTGTGTGTTGGGTCATGCTCGACCTTATGCCTTCCTCCAACCTGTTGAGAGAAGAGATTGTGAATTTTCTGGTACAATGATGGTGACTTTCAACTTTTAATGATCTCATTATGTATCTAAGTCAGATAGTTTAGGGTTTTTTATTTATTTTTTCTGTGTGTGAGTGTGAGAAAGATAAACAAAGAGAGAGAGATAGAGCGTCAAAATACCCAAAACATGATATAAGAACAACATACAGCATCAACCATGCACGACCCAAGAGACACAGCATGATATGTGATACCTGGAAGACACCCAATGCTATAGCCTTGGGTGCCTCAAACACCCCAAGGTTATATTCAAACAAGTAAAATAGCCTATGGTGTTAGTAATTCCCTGATGTACTGTACAGTAAGTCATCACACTAACTTGGTACTCAATAACAAAGGTTATTTACCATTGTTCAAGCTATAGTTACTTATGTTTAAAGTGTTTTCTTTGCTGAAGGCATCAAAGCAAATTACATTGGTAAGTGACTATACATGACAGAAGAAAAACAATACAATAACATTATGTTCATAAACCATTAAAATACATATAAAAAAAATCGCCCATCCTTTTCTCCAATTTCCTGTCCATTTGTTCACGTTGGACTTCACAATGCCCATTCCAGTTGATAGAGGAGGAGGGCAACGATAAGAAAAAAATTGGGAGTCCCTGAACCTGGCTGATGCCAGGTCCAAGGGCCAGGGTTCTCCCCCAAGAGGATCCTGACTCCTGGAACCACTGGACAAACAAGAATGCTGGTCCAAAAGCCTCTTGGAAGAAGCCTCCTGACCCCAGCTCAAAAGGATAAAAAAAAGGCTAACCAAGTTCAGGACCGGCTCTCCTTGTCCTAGGTTTGGCACTTCCTGGATGAGCAATTCCAAACCCTTACAAAAAAAGGGAACCTACGCAGCCTGACACTGACTTCTGAGACACAGCAAATGCTGCTCCTAGGGTCAGTTACCTCCTCCAGGAAGCTCCTTATCCCAGATACAGAAATGTCCGAATCCTCTAGAACGGAGATACAATGTTCCGAGAGTAAGGCATTTCCCAGAACAGACTTCTGACCCCCGTTCTAAAGGGGTGGGGGAAAGGGGGCAAATGCAGTTGATGATTCTTCAAATTACATTGGTAAGTGACTATTGTATAGATGACTGATGAAAAGAGACAATACATACAGACATTACACCAATACAATACAGTATTCTCATAATAAACCATTAAAATCTTGCACTTTTCTTCTACAATTTCATTTCCATTTGTTTATGCTGGACTTCACAATGTCCATTCCAGTTGATAAAGGAGGAGGGCAACGATAAGAAAAAAAAAATGGGGAGTCCCTGAACCTGGCTGATGCCAGATCCGAGGGCCAGGGTTCTCCTCCAAGAGGATCCTGACTCCTGGAACCATTGGACAAACAAGCATGCTGGTCCAAAAACCTCCTTCCCAGTGTCATGATCGTGATGACGGCTAACCTAAAAACCTTAAGGATTCATTTTACGCTCAAACGTCCACAAAACCTGAGTCCCCCAGTGGAAACGTCCCCTGTTTTCTCTGTTTCCTTGATGACGTCATCGAGAGGCCGTCTTTGTCTAAAGGGAACTTTGAATATAATCTGCGAATTTCGTAGCAAGACGCTGTATGTTGGGACCTGTTGCCATCCAACCCTTGGTAATCAATTTAATTTTTGCTTTTGATAGCTCAGTCAGAGCATTGTTAGTGAAGATAATAGTAGGAAATGAAACTGAGTTCATAGTCTCAGTTTCAACGTCAGAGTGTACAGTAAAGTAATTCATCGAAATAGAAGTAGGTGGAGTCCCTGACCTAGCTTGAGTGAGAGTGCTGCGGGCATTTCAACCGTTAGTAAGTGCTCGCCCCTTCACCCATACAGGTAGGTCATTCCACTCTGTGTTGTGATTCGCCCTTCTTTAAGTGATTTGACCCAATTAATAGTTGATTGTGCAAGTGTTACAGTAACGCAGTTGATATGCTCTGAGTGAAGTAATGTTTACGTCTTTAACGTCCCCTGAAACGTGGTGTCGCTGTCACAGTTAGTAAGTGCTCGCCCCTTCACCCATACAGGTCCCTAACACAGCCTAGGCCGTGTCTGTAGGGTGGATGTTGTATCCACTATGTCTGGAGAGATGTCCGAGGTCCAGTAGGATCAGTTATCTTCGTGAGACCCAACCGTCAGACACTTCAGACTACCTATGGCCCCCATAGCTGGCCAGTCTGACCCTAACGCTCGGCCCGCGAGGTGACCCCGGATCACCAAGCCCCACACAACTACCAGCCCCCATCATTGGTGGATGAGTGTCTAACTCAGTAGGGCTATGGTGTGGTTGTGTTATTCCACTGGGTTCTTCAGAGTTCATTGGAAAGTACCCCATGGTGGCAGGACCCCCATGGCGGTTGCTTGATTATCACTCCTGACTACTGAGTGTTGTAGTGGCAGTTGTCCTTGGTCTTTATGGTGCTAAGTTACGATAAGAGTTTAAGTGTTATTGAGTATGTCCACCCAGTAGTGGTGTGAGTGTTATTGAGTATGTCCACCCAGTAGTGGTGTGAGTATGTTGAGCCTGAGGGCATAGTACCAGGTTTCGTCTGTTGGTACATATATTCTTTCTCCTATCTCCATTTTAATGTTTAAATAAATATTGTATTTGTATATTGTGTCTATTATTTACCTACAGTATCTACCGTTATTTCTTCCCTATTACTTGATACTATCATTACATATACCCCCGAGCCTCCTCTCGTCACACTACCAATGATTATAAGTAAAATTGTTATAAGAGGCACAGGCCCTTATAACAGTACAGTAAAGTCTTATGTTCTAGTCAAGTTTCTCCCACATATACGTTACTTGAGTATAGTTTTAATTCATATCACCAGCCTTCCCTCCCTCACTGTAATACTCTTCAATTATGTCTCCAGCAGTCTTCCCTCTCAATTAACTTTTGTCCACTCTTCCCTCACTCTGACCATAACATGGCATACAGCTCACAGGTGGGGAAAGTTGATAATCTCCCAGTAATTTAAACAGATGCAAAGAAAAATATCTAAATCAATTCTATCAGGCATTTGTATATTTAAAGCAGCATATACTGTATAGTGAAAGGTTCTGCTCTTCCTGTAGCTACATAAAAAAATGATCTTGAGGTAGACAGGCAAGCCCAGGATAAAGGAGCTTACTGGTAAGGTTAACCTACCATAAGCATGTACTGTACCAGGTACTATCATTCACTGTAAATGACCCATGGAAATGCATAAATTGTAACCCCTCAAAAATATTATGCGTGTATAGTTTGACCCCAATTTTTTACATAAAAATTTGATCATTAAGACTTGAACTATACTTTAAGATACAGTAAACGGTAATTTCATGAAGTTACTTTGTGATTTTATCTCTTACATAATTATTGAAGTAATATCCTCACTTTATTAAAGTTATTAACACCACAGTGTTAACTCTCACTCTGTGTCATGGGAAAATAGGCGGACGTTCTGCAACGTCACCCAGGGCTTAAGGATTAAGACATTTTGGGTTAGTATTTTCATTATAGAAAAGTATCTTGGCTTTTATAATGGGAGTCTATGGGAAAATTTATCTGATTTACTAAAGGTTTTACAGGAACAGAACTCTCTTATAAACTGGGGAATGCCTGTAGAACCTTCCTAATATTCAAAGTACCAGAAAATAGTAATTACAAGTAATTACCATCTAGTCCTTTAGGTCCAGTTAACTTCAGATCTCATTCACTTGCACGTCCAGCCCACTTTAGTCTAGTTCACATCAGGTCCAGCTCAATTCAGGTCCACTTTAGACAGTGATGGAGAAAGTATCTGGAAGTATTACTTAAAATAAAGTACAGTACTACACTGTTGCTTTGTACAAATTATAATTTGTATAAAGTAGCTTTCTTCAAAACTACTTACACAAAACAAAAGTTTAATTAACTGAAGTGAAACATACAAGTAGAAAAAGTAAAAAAGAAACTAGTATTTGTAAGGTATCAAAATTGATAAACGATGATATGCAAAGCTTAAAGTTATTAACATAATTAAGAGAGAAAATATGAGACAGAGGTATTTATGTATTTACAATCAACTTTGGGTTAAATTTTTTTTTTCTGTAATAACTAATCTTCATATTTCTTGTGGCACACCTGGGCTGGAATATCAGTTCAGCACAGGTGTTAAAATGATTTTATGCTTTTACTTTATATACAGGTAACTCTCGTTTTACGTGCGTTTGATTTAAGCGTTTTTGGAACAACGCGATTGTTCAATTAATACCAAAAGCTAATTTACACGCACCTATTTTTTAAATAACGCGCTCAAGACAGTTTAAATTTGCATCGTGTATTCACCTGGTCGCCTGGCAGTGGAGTCGCGTGTGATGCCTGTTGAGGTACTTGTAAGTTATTACTATAAAGTCGCAGTCATATCAACATCAAAAATTCTATATTATTAATAATAATAATAATAATAATAATTATAATAATGTAATAATAAAGATTATTACATTTAATGGTGAAGATAATGAAGTATTCTGCACAACAACTTTGACCACGTCCAGCAAGCTTCCCGGGTATCACTTTCTCAGTTCACACCAGCACTACTACTTCTCTGTGCTCCAATTTGCATTGTGTTTATCACGTACCTTTTTAGTGTTAAATGCTGTTTCCCCCATTGACCATGTCTGTAAAACACACATCTGCCTCTGGGACGCCTAAAGCTAAAAAGGCATGAAAAACAATCACAATGGACGTGAAATTAAATGTGATCACCGGCCTTCAGAGAGGAGTGTGTGTGAGTTGGCCGCATGCTTGGTTTAAGTGAGAGCACTGTTCGTACCCTGTGTGGCATTTGATGGTTCCCTTAACCTGTACCATTTACATGTATTCTTATGGGAAATTTATGTTTAATTTAAGCGTTTTTTAATTTAGCGGTGGTTTTCAAGAACGTGACCCCCACGTAAAACGAGAGGTGGGTGTACTCTAAACACAAACACTTTGACACTTATATACACACACAAACACAAAAAGACCAAGTTAGGGATTTAATTACAGGTACTCCACCGATTTTCCGGCAACGGATGGTCCGGCACCTCTTTTAACCCGGACAAAATTCTCGCGACCTCCAGATTAGTTTACTGGGCTGCCCACAGATGGTATTGCGTGTTAACCGCGCTCGCTTTGTTTGTTTATTCTGCAGTTGCTGGTGGTAGCTTCTTCATTTTGTGTAATTCTCAGCTTATTTTGGACATATCTAACCCCAGCTATGGCTTCAAAGGCAAGTACAAGTGTCAGTGGTGGTGTAAAGCGTAAACACCAGTCCACATCGATACAAGATAAGGTGGAACTCTTGAGAAAACTCGACAGTAGTGTTTCGGTGTGACGGGTGTGTGATCAGTATGGTATTGGTTCGTCAACTGTGTATGATATAAAGAAGCAAAGAGAAAAGTAACGAGATTCTATGCAGAAAGTGGTTCCAAGAAGCAAGTGTGCATTAGAAAAACATTGAAAGACAGTAAGAGTACTGAACATGATAGAGTGATGAGTTTCTAGCAGCCATGGTGCTTTAAAAATACCGGGGGGAAGGGGTGTATACCAAGTGGCTCAAAGGTGTATTGCTTAATTATTATATATGACCTCTGTTAATCCGGCAAAACGGATGGTCCGGCAAGGCTCAGGAACCAAAGGTGCCGGAAAATTGGTGGTGTACCTGTATTACTAGTGTAGAGGATAAAGAACAAGATACAGTAAACTAAAGCAATAAATAAGACAACTCCAACACAGTGATAACGTGGCACCTGGGACTGACTAACATAACATGTCACGAGAACAATTGCAAATAAACAAACACAAAGACAATCGCATTATAAAGAACCTGAGGTGGAGGAGGGAAGGAGAGACAGTGAGAAATGTGGGAATTTATACTGTATAGGAGTTGCACATCACAAGTGTAGCTTTAAGTAATACTAGTAACCCCGAGAGAACAAAACCCTGAATGAAACAAGAATGACACCAGTCTAGTTAATAAGACTGGACTTAAATGCATAGGTGGATACAGAACAGGCAGACATCCTGGGGTTGAGAAGATGTGTTTACCAGGTTATCACTCACCATCCAGAAAGGACAGGTGGTGGTGTACTACTGTGTCATGGAGCACCTGACAATAACCAGTAATGATGAGCGAATGAAACTAAATCATCCAAATTTACTTTTGGTGTGAACTAATAACAGAGAACAAAAAGCAAGGTGACAGTAGGTGTGTGTTATAAGGCTGACTCAACCTCACAGGGAGAAGTGGACAGACTCCAATGTCATCCAGAACAGACAGTAGACTGGGTGACTCTTACCATACAAGCTGAGGAGCATACCTTGACCTTCAAGACACAACACATGAAGGAACCTACTAGAGAAAAAACATTCTGGATATACTCTTGACAACAGAGGTAGCAATGGTGGACAAAGTCCACATCAGGGAAAAACTAACTCTGGCCCACAATC